TCCACTGTGAAGGCTGCTCAATTCTAACTTTTGTGTTGATAAGGCCCATATTTTTGTCACACTCCATGTAACTATGTCCCCTAATTGGAAACGTAACTTGAACTGTATCGAAACGATCTAGGTCATGAACAAGGTGATGAAGAGATCTGAATAGCGTATAATTTTTATTTTGCCCGGCACAACAGGGATGCTTCAGGTGGCAAAATGTTTTTGCAAAAGTGGTAAAGCATAGAGACCACATCATCTGCTCCCTTTTTTGCAATGGTCTGATCATATGTGAAAAAGTAAGATGCGGCGGTAGAAAGAACATGGATATTGAATATATAAAATGACAACTGACGTTTATAATATACGTCATTTGTTGGAATATTAGGCACCGGCAGATTCTTCATAAAATTCATGCAGATGGATTCATAAGTGGCAGATTTTCTTGCTTTTTTCTTTGCTAATCTTTTCCTCTTATAAAACATTTTAGCTTTTCTCAAATGTAACTCGTTAAGTATGGTTAAATTCCGTATATCCTTTTCTTTTGCGATGCACTCTTCTGGTGTACAATTTTCTTTTTCTTTTTGAAGGCATGACACCTTAGCCTGGATTTCGTCGCAGTTCGAGCAGGTATCTGTTCTTGGATACCCAAATGAAATATTATATTGGGTATTAAAAATATTTCTGTAACATTCGTATGACACGGGATTTTCTGAATTTATATCAAATTGCACAATATGTACAATTGTGCAATTTTTTAATCGAAAGATCATCAGGTAAATATAAACGTTTGGAATCATGCAAGCTCTATAGCTTGCATGATTCCAAACGTTAATCACACGAAACGAAATCCAAACGAACAAAAAATGATTCCAAACGAAATCACACTATTGTGATTTCCTACCTTTTAGAGACTGAATATGGGAATGAATCCTTTCTATTGTTTGGTCTGACAGTTTGTGTTTTCTATTTTTGTGTTTACCCCTGTTGTCGATTGGAGGATTTCCTGTTGTAATGAGTGAATGTTGGATAGTCCTTATGATCTGAAAAGTTATCCCAAAAATTGAAAGAAATGCCTTCCTGTATATAGGAACCTCAATCGCACCTGTTTCACGTACCAATCTAACTTTGTAACAAAATGCATGATTGTGCAAGTTACTGTCTGCTTCATTTTTTCGTGGTCTTCTACGTTTTATCTGATTAATTGAAATTAAGCCAGCTAAATAAGCACTTTGATTGTTTTTCGATCCCAGCAAATTAAAATCTTTTAACAAACCGTCTCTTTCTTTAACGGATACTGTTTCAAAACATTTTAAACGCTTGCAGGAGCAACTGTCACCACACTCATGGCTAGCAACACGTAACCTCTTATTAGCAGAACGTAATCTTCCTGTAACTTTCCATTTTTTTGTATTTCGTCCAAAACTTACAGACGTCTCATTTTCGTCTTCACTCGACATTATTAACACTGTATTAAACACGATCAGTAAGTCAATAAGAAAATAAAAACTTCAAGCACAAACACCTTACAATGAAATAACTACTTGTCACACTGACGCAATCTGATGCAAACGTCACATTTATGCAAGCCTGCTTGATGAGTCCGGTGGACTTAGAATGTTCTTTCGTTGCACACTCAAATTTCAAAGCCGATGTCTATGGACTAGGATTGATATTTAATTATCTGGACTTAATACAAAGCTAGAGTCATGTCGTCGCTAACAGATGGCACCAAAATCTAAAAAGTGAATTTTTGTGACTTAGTATGTTCTTCCCCTGTACCCTTCAAATACAGCTTTAACAATATAAATTTGAGGGAAGGAAAATTGAGCTATTTCACAGAATTCGTCGAAGATGATCCGTGATCTTCCAATAGTCATCACAAACACATCTAAAGTTAGCTAACTAACTAATGATACTTAAACTTAAAAAAAAATAACAAAAAAGAAAAAGAGAGGCTAGGTAACTAAATGTACGTTTGAACAGTTCCGTTCTATGCGAGGGAATAGGTAGTAAGTTAGCATATCTAGTGTTAACACTATGCGTATCTCTTCTGGGTACAAATCCACAATGCAGATACGGAGGGAAACCCGAGATCAAAATTTTATAAAGAAAACTAACCGAATGCAACCGCCGGAGGTTTTCCAAGTTTAACCAACCACAGTCAGACAGCTTGTGGCTAATACGGTGAGGACGTCGAATCCCGTAAATCATTCTAAGACAGGAATTCTGCACTTTTTGTAATCTGTCTTTATCTCTTCTATACAAAAACTCACCATACACCGTGTCCAAGTAGTTCAAGTTACTAAGCACTAAAGATTCACATAGCATGACTTTACGGCCACGTGTCGGTTCGAACAGAATAGCTTGTAATTTCGTAGGGTTCAGTACAAGACAGTGTCATTTTGTATATTTAAGCAAAGCCTCCAAGGTAGAATTGATACTACTCTCAGCACCCGCGGCGTCTTGTGGATAGAAGGATCATAGGTCATAGGTATATAAAGCGAACAGAATGCTAATCGGTCTCAAATCCTTTTCATTCTGCGCTGGGTTTCTTTTCGGTATGGGTATCACAAGTGACTCCTTCCATGCTTCAGGAAAAGTACAAGTACATTTTGAGTTCAGTCCATCAGCACCCGTAACAGTGCTCCAGATAGAAGAGAAGGCGCGAAGCACCTCAACCTCGGAAACGTGCTCGAAACGCATCCTCCGATCGGGTGAAATCAAGGGATTAGAACGGTAGTGCTCAATAATAGTGTCGTCCGGTAATTGAGGCTGAGGCAAGACGAACTCAGAGTTAAGAAGGTTCAGGTCTCTCAGAGCAGGAGGTAACGTTGTATACTCCCTGTTTGAAATATTAAGTTTTTTGATTTCTGATTAAAGACGCTTTTTGTTATTATGATGTCTGTCACACAGGTACTTAAAATAGGCCTTTTTTTCTCTGCTGACTGCTCTGGTCGTTTCATTCCTTAGTGACTTATAGTACTCAAGATGCGAAGCTCTTCCAGATTTTGTTTTTAAGTTGTAGCCAAAAAGTCAAATTTTAGTGATTACAAAAAATGCTCATATTTCGTTTATTTTTGAAATTAGAGAAATGGGGTTAATACATTCTTAAGACACTTTTTTGAGAAGAATATACTGCCGTCTTTTAACATAGCTGATAACCAGAGCCGCGATGTTTCGGGCTGTTGATGTCGCCATCTGTATAGAGCGGCCAACAGGTTAGAGCGAGTAGTAACATGCTTCTATCGAGCACACCGATGTGCCGCAATGTAACGATACTGGTTGAATGCTGGCCCATGTAAGATTTCGGGGGTTCTCGGCAATGCAGCATTCAATACGTGTTTAGCCGATTGTCCGACTAAAACTCAGCCAGTGGTGTGGTATACTATATATGGCCCGAGTCTCTACCGTAAGGAGACGAGCCGCCAATGAGTTGTCCGACAACGTCGCGGCTGTGTTAATAAATCTGATAGGTCAGTTTCACCTATATCGGTATCTTCAGAGGCCCTGTCAAATGCAGTTTAAGAAAATAACAATTAGTTGCACTAATGAACAATAGTCCAATAGTTCAAGTTTCTGACACAAAGGCAACCACTCCTTTATTTTTGCCTCCATAAGTTGTAATAGACTTCAAGTTATCCATCGAAGGTTCTTCATCTTCCCCAGCAGTCGTGCCTTGAATACTATCAATATTAACAAGTTTTATATTTTCCTCGAATAAAAATCAACACCTAAGCAGTATCTGACACATCCATTGACTTATCCAAGGCCAGAGAAAACCACTCAAGACATCCATATTTGTCAGACAGTTGAGATGATAAATTTTCTGTGATGTTCTACCCTCCGAGCCATAGTGTTTGCTGACAAACTGACAGTTTTAAATAAAATTGCCGTTTCGGGGCACATTTCTTTGGCTACAGTTGAAGCCTCTCTCACTTTCAATCCACGCTTCAATACTTAAAATTTTTCTGTCCGCAAACTTCCTGTATACTTTGAGTAATTTTGAAAATATTTCGTTTTATACTGACGTTTAATGTTATATTCTTTGAGATTGCCTATGGTTTCATTGCCAATCAAGCGGCTTCTTACTGAACTCAATCACGAAATATTGAAAGCTCTATTGATTTTTAAATGTTCACCATCTATTTTTCGGTTCATTTCCATACTATACCCCGTTCACTAAACAGATGCAGTAATTTGAAATTGCAGCTCCTCCCACAAATATGCAACAAAATTGGAAGATAATTTTGCTAATAATAATAGAATTTCAAATTACTGCATCTGTTCGGTGAACGGGGTATAGTAAATCACAGCCAAACACAAGTCAAATCAAAATATTGTTACGTATGGTAGAACTTTCTCGAACCACCAAGGTTATTCGTGAATGTTTAATGGTTACTGTGCTTTAGAAAATACTACTATAACAACCTTCGATAGCTCAGTTGGTAGAGCGGTGGACTGTAGAAGAAAATACTACTAGCCCTACCTGTTAGCGAGAGGGTACTACTACTGCCTATATCCGGTTGTGACCACCAGATGTCACGGTCGTAACAGTGCATGATAGTGATTGAACTAGCGAATTTAGCAAGCCTATGCTCGCTCAAGGCCCGTACTCGATGACTAGTCTAAAAATTATAGATAATGGCAAGAGAATTAAAACGGTTTTGACCCTTAGAACTTACTAGAGTAATCAGTATAGCCCTAAGGCTGGAAAGCTTAGAGACCCCTGCTATAAGCAATTAAAAATGCCTTTACCTCAGCACGTGGAAAATAACTTCTCCAGATTATTTTATGCACACCATTAATTTTTTACAAATAAGTATTCATTAACATCACTGCTGAATGCCTAAAAACTGAGAAATGATCTCTGTGCACTACAAGAATCTGTTCTAAGACTCTACTTGTGGAAAGTTTTCTATGACGGAGTATTCCGCCAAGAAATGATCGACAAAAACGTTGTCAAATAATTTTCATAGTTGTGAAATTACCAGCAAATGCAAACCAACACTATAATGACGTTGGTAATACTATAATGTTACACGGTAGCGAAATGAAGACTAATAAACTGTCTTGGGGCAGCCTTACGCAACTCCTTTCATAGAAGAGGCGTTCTGCGACTCTATTCACTACAAACTGATTGATGTCCAGACTAGTGGTGTTAGCAGTAATGCGCGCCCAAACATTGTTTTGACCACAAAAAAAAGCAAACTATGTTACCTATGTTACACATAGACATAAAATTTTCATGAAATTGTATAACTGAAAGTGTACCTAAACTTTCAATTGAGATTTTTCACATAAACTAGGATTTAATATGGTAATAATTGTAGAATGCTTAATTTATGTTTTTCTAATTATAAAATTACTTTGAATTACTTACATTTTATGCTATCCGAAAAATTCAAGAAGTATTCCACTTCAGTTAATTTTATCGCTTTTATAATTCCAAGAATTTCGAATGTTATATGCCAAATTAACACGTTAAGGTTATCTCTTAGTATGTTAACATAACCAATTCAAATTATACTATATATTACACTATTTATTATTAACCTTTTTATTTCTTTTAGGCTTTTGGGATTCAATGTTTATCAGGAACAGGCGCTTTACGTGTTTGCGCTGAGTTTCTATCAAGACAGTTGGGTTACAAAACTTTTTACATTTCTTCGCCAACTTGGGAAAACCACACTTTGGTGTTTAAAAATGCTGGTTTTCATGAAGTTCGAACCTACAGATATTGGTGTGAAAAGAAACGCGGATTAGACTTGGAGGGAATGTTACAAGATCTTAGAAACGCACCCGAACGTTCTGTCGTTATTTTACACGCTTGCGCTCATAACCCAACAGGTTGCGACCCAACCCCAGAACAATGGGAGAAAATCGCCGATGTTGTCCAAGAAAAACAATTATTTCCCGTTTTGGATACTGCATATCAAGGTTTTGCCTCTGGTGATTTAGATAACGATGCTTATACTATTAGATATTTCGTTAATAGGGGATTTGAAACGATGATTTGTCAATCTTTTGCTAAAAATTTTGGGTTGTACAGTAAGTTAAATGGAAACTATTTGTACCTTGATAAATATATCGAAAATGTTGTTTGTAGATGAACGTGTTGGAAATTTAGTATGCGTTGTAAACAATCCTTGTGCTATTGTTAACGTAAAGTCTCAATTTACCTTAATTATAAGAGGAATGTATTCAAATCCACCAAGTCATGGTGCAAGAGTAGTTAGTTTTGTCTTAAATAATGCTCAATTATACGACGAATGGTAACTAAATATTTAATTTTTAGATTATTTTTATCATTTTTATTTGTTTTTAAGGAAAGAGGCTATTAAAACTATGGCATCTCGTGTTGTAAATATGAGACACGCTTTACGCGACGCCCTTGAAAGATTCGGAACACCAGGAACTTGGAATCATATCACATCTCAAATTGGAATGTTTTCATACACTGGTTTAACGGGTAAATATTAGAATCGTTTATTTCAGAAAGGGCCTAAGTAACATTTTTGACAATTTTGAGATTAGTGTATATTCGCACTATCTTGTTGTAGACCTATCGTTGGGTGTAGAAAGGAAGTACGATTCCTAAGTCTCTAACATTTATTGTGGGGAGAGAATATTTCGTTTGCAATAGAAAGGTACTAAGTATCCTTAGATAGTCCCTTTCTTCTTTCCTTTTCTGTCAGTTTGACGGCTAACAATTATGCGATTAAGGCTTGAACACATAAAAGCGATTGCGATTGCAATCTGCGTAGCGATATTGTTATTAACCAATCATATCGCCGAATCGTAACTGCAAACTTGACAAGTATGCATGATCAATCTTTTTGTACAAGTATGCTTTAGCGTTTGTAGGATAATTTTGCACAAACATTTTGCTTGTGCAATCCGCTTGATGATGGATTAAATTTTAATCTTGCAAGCTTGCAAAACCGCACATGTGTACCAAAAAATCCGATGTAATCGATGTAGTTCACATAAGTTTCTTCGTTCATTCTGAGATAATTATGCCAGTCACGTGGATATATCTTCAATTCACTCAGTAAATTAATACGGGAGTAGGTTTTTCTTTCAATAACCACTCTTTACACCATACGTGATATACGTTTCTTCTTCCGCGTTTTCCTCTTATGGACAAGGCAAAAAGCAGCCAGTGCGAGCGCATCGTGTGGTGTCGAAGAGAAATTTTACATGCTTATACAAAAAGATTGATCATGCATGCTTGTCAAGTTTGCAGTTACGTGTGTCGCTACCTTTATAATATACAGTGCGTTTCAAAAGTAACGGATAAATTCGATAAAATCATTACGAACAATGAAAAGAATTTTAAATTTTTTCCGCCATTTTTAAACGAGTTATGGCGTCATCGAAGTTTTTTTTAAATGGAACACCCCATTTTTTATATCGGAATTTGAAAGAGAATTTTTTTCTGAATTATGTGCAATAAATATTAATATCGGTTACATAAGAAAATTTTCGAGAAAAATTAATTTAAAGTTTTATTATTTCTCATTAATTTGATATAGAAAATAGCAGTAGCAGTGCGTAACCATGGCAACCAATTGTTTTGATTTGACATTTTCAAGTGTCAAAATTCAATTTGAATTGAATTATTTGTTTAAATTAATTATTATTACTATTGTACTTGAGATACAAAAGTAGCAATAGCTTGTTGCATCAAACGCATTAAAAAAAAAAACGCAAACAGAAAATAAGATATCAAAAATTAAACATTTTTTTAAAGTTTAAGTTTACAAAAATAACATGAACGATAGAAAACAATAATCATCATTAATTCAAATGTTCAAATTGCTGCCCGTTAGCGGCAAGGCAATATCTTAATCGGGAGACAAATGCTTCTTGAACGTTTTGAATCATATCCGGGCCGATTAATTGAATTTCTTCTCTAATTTTTTACTTCAGATCTTCTAGGACCTAGAAGATCTGAAGCAGAGATAACGTATAATCTAGGTTATCAGGCTTATTAAAATAAACTTTAGATTTTAAATAACCCCAAAGAAAATAATCTAAAAGGCCATTCAATATGTCCGCGTCTGCCAATCCACCGATTGGGAAATATTTGGTTGAGGTATTCTCGTACAACTAGAGCATAATGAGGAGGCGCGCCATCTTGCTGTAGCCAAATTCTGGGATTTAGTGAATTTGGATCTTCTGCATTTGGAAAAATTGCAAGTAAACTTGGAATTAATTCTAATTGAAGGAAATTCAAATATTGTTCACCGCCTACTGTTCCGTTAAAGAAATACGGTCCAATAATTGCCCAATAACGGCAGTTTTGCTTATGGACGGTGCCATTTAAACAAAATATTGCTTCATCGGAGAATAGAATGTTTTTAATAAATTCCGGATTTGCGTAGCATAGCTCCGTCATTGTTTCGCAGAATTGCAAGCGTCGATCAAAATCGTCATCGGAAAGCTCATGCACCAAGTGTACAGGGTGTCCCAATTTCGATGTCCGCATAGGCTATCTCCGAAACTAAAAGAGATAGAAAAAAAGTAGCTTACATGCCATGATCTCGTTT